CTACCTGGTGTCAGGCTCATGGCACCCTGGGCTTCTAAAAAGCAGGCATGCTGCTGGGAGCCCCAGTTGCAAGCCCACTTCTTAAAGTTCCCAACCACTTGGGGAGTAGGGAGTTCCTGGCTCCCCTGCTACCACTTCCATGTGTGTGGTAGGTGCAGCTAGAGTGCATGTCTGGCATGGCAAGTCACACGATTTGGAGAATGGGACATAAAATTCCCCAGGGCCCAATTATGTGGTTGCCAGGCAGGCCCGGTGATGAGGGCAGAGTTTGGCAGCCTGTGGCCCGTGGGCCAGATTTGGTCTGTGAAAAGCTTAGAACTGACCTAGAAGGTCCAACCTAGCACAGAGGATTGGGTGGCACGCAGCTGTGCAGAAACATCCATCTCCTCCGCAGCCCTCCCTGCTGCTTGCTCATGTCTGCATTTGCCCTCACAGCAGAGGGCTGGGTAACTGCAGCAAGGGGAAGCACAGGGCACTTGAGCTGACAGGCTGATCAGATTTGTGTAGCCCTACGAGGTTGCAAGCTCTGGCCCATGTGGGGGCTAAAGTTGCCAACCCCTAGTTTTAGGGCATTCACATCAAGGAGAGTCCTGGGTTCTCGTCTTTCCATATGCATATGTATCTTGTCCTTCCTATGCATATAATTCTATATGCATTTTACATTAAACAGTCATTGGAAAGAAGCAGATGTAATTTGGAGCAGGGTCCAGAACTGGGCATAACCTTTTTAAACAGAAAGGTAAATTATAAGATATAATACTGTCATTGATCTGGTCTCTTTGTAAAAGGAGCCGGTTATAAGACTCATTTAGTAAAGCTTTTAAACATGTAGTTTAAGTATGTACAATGTCCATTAGAGCTTAATGGGACTATGTGCTTAAATGCTGAATGGGGCCCTTCTATGGTAACACAATATTATTGATTGTGTAAATGTATCTCCTCGTCACTGTTTCTTCAACTTCAAAATACAGTGTTACGTCATTATTTGTTTAAGCCTTAAATGAGTAAAGGTGGGAGAGCAAATAGTGTGTGTGTCCATGTATAAAATATTAAAAACTAGGAAAGAATATGAAAAGATATATTATAATCTGCAAGGTAAACACACAGCCAAGGAATAGATTAATTCTTTAGGGAGATTCGTTTTGGTTGCAACTTTTTCTGGAAATAGCAACAACTGCTTTTCAGATTCCTGGGGTATTTAATGTGGAGAAGGCATTTGCTGTTTTATGGGGAGGAGGTTCTTTTTTTTTCCTATATAGTATGGAGTTTGGGATGTTTTTATATCACCATCTGTGCCAGGTTTTACTTTAATTTCTTCAGATTTTAGTACTGTAGTGCTAAATCTGAGACAAACAGTTTTACAGCATTCTACCACCAGACAATTTAGAAAATAGCTATTAGGGAAAAAAATCCATTTTGCAATTTTCATTGAGCAGCTATAGAGTGTAGGTGCTTAGATTAATTTTAGTTATTGACTTCAAGTCAGATAAATTTAAATGACCATCCTATGTATTTACACACATTAAAATGCCGTTACTTTTTTAGTCTTACTTTGATTAATTCTGTAAATGTTTCTTCTATTTTTAAAATACTTTTTTCATATTTGGCCTGAAAGTGAATTATTCTAATCTTGTAAAGAACAGTTGCTATTAATGTCTGTTTGGCATACATTAAAAAGCAATTATTCCAAAATTGAACATTGAGCAGTTGTATTATTCCCCTCTAAACTGATATTTTTATGTTATTAATTTTGTATGTGCAATCTCAAGAGGATATATGAGATGAACTGTTCAGAAAAAACATAATTTAATAAAGTGGGCTTAAAACATAGGAAAAAATAACTAGCATAAAGCTTTGCAATTTCCTTGACCTTTTTCTATGGGAACATATATCAGTATGTGATTATTGTAAGTTTAGAAATTTTTAAGGGCAACGAAATAATATGGATCGTGGTATTATCTTATTGTAGGATGGACTCACTAATTATTTTCAATTATTCACTTTAACTGTGCACATTTAATGGGGTAATATTTCATTGTGATGTCGCTAACTTGTAGCTCCATTGAATTTAAATGCATCCTTTTAAATATTTGTTTTCCCTTCAAAAACCAGTGTAGGGTTTTTTACATATTTTATAAGTTTCAGCCAATGTAGCATGACAGTTACAGAGAGACAACTGGAAGCAGGTGTTTGGGCCCCTCTACACATGCAGGTAAAGGCGTGATGATGTCTAATGCATGATCCCACAGTCATGGCTCCTGCCATGCACATGTGACATAGCAGGAGCACAGCTGGGTGGATTATGCATTAGATCCCATCATGCCTTTACCTGCATGTGTAGAGGGATCCAAACACCTGTTTTCAGTTGTCTCTCTATAAGTTTTAATTTTTAATTAAAAAATAAATAATTTTTAAGTACAAATGGCCCATTTGATGACCATTTCATTAAGGAGACTGGAACTAGTTGGGCCACTATTAAATTTTCCTGTTGCCCCCTACTCCCGCCCCAATGGATGATCTTTTCAGGCATATTTTTAAGGTGAGCTTGTGGTGCTACTGCTTTTACTATGCTTGTTTTGTAGTTAAGTAGAGGGATTTCTTTTTCACAATCGCCAAGCTGTAATCTTTGTGAGCAGTAAAAAATCATCTCTTTCAATCAGAAATGGTGGAGGAAGAAAAAGAGCCCCAACAGGAATAACACTTTAATGCAAGTCATAAAATAAAATTAATGCAGTGTGTGCTGCTGCTCTTCACATACAGTAGCTGAACACAAACTGTTAACTCAGTGGACACACAAATGTGTTTTATACTGTCCACTACTTCTCTCTACTTCTGCTGGGAATAGACTGAAATATTTTTTTCAGTATAGCACTGAATGCTTCATTGAGTTCCTATAACAAAAAAGACAGGAAAAAGACTGCTTTCTAGTTAACTTCAACTTGTTATACAAATCTGAAGAGAAGGGTAGCAAAGCAAATGATCATATGTTGAAGGGAACTTAACGGAAAGAGACTTGAAGAACAGAATAGAAAATGTGTGAATTGGGGCATTGAAACACTGACCCTTGGAATTGCGTTTGCTCCACCTGACTTGACATATGCTTTCTTTTTTGCTTTTTTACCTTGCTTACTGAAATGTTCCTGTAATATAAAGTGGCTTGTGGCTGCAGAGGAGAGGGAGGGGGAAAGGGAAGGGAGGTGGGGTTGGAGGGGAGAGAGAGAGATTTTCTGCTTTCCTCAGGAGTATAGTTATTGCTTATCTTGGAGCTTTGATTCTGTCAACTAACATAAGTGAATGTTTAACCAATAGCTCTTGAGAGAGAGCTCTGTGGACTACAGAGCTGGTCCTGTTTTACTGCCAGAGTAAGCTCATTTGTTGTGTTTAGAAACATGCTCGTATAGTATTGCTTCCTGAACTTATAAGTTGTACTAAGTATCAAATGGCATCTGCTATTATTTTATTAATCTTCCAACATTACAGTATCTGAGCATCATGCTGATTTTAATTTATCCTCATACAGTTCTTGGGAGGTAAGCTTTTCCCAGGTGGGTAACTGAAACACAGAAAGGTAAAGTGGTTTGCCTTCAGGGCATCTGCAGAAGAGGTAGGAAAATAATTTGTTCTTCTAAGTCTCAACCAAGTGTCTTAGCCAGAGGAGCATACCCCTATCCCCGAGCCCATCTTTTTTGTAGTCTTTCCAACTAGTAACATTTTGCTCGCTTTTGTATTCATAAATGGGACTCTTCTTTTCCCCTGCTGAGAACTTGAAAAGCAATGAAAAGGATAATGAACGGAGGCCTACTTTAGAATAAAATGTTAGGTTGTAGCCTGGATTTTCTTCTGCACTGATGCAGAAGACAGCAAGAGCAACAGTATTGTACTCATGCAGTGCATGCTTGCTGGTGACTGCTGAGGTTTTCTATTGAACTATTGGTGCAGATCTGTTTCCATTATGGGCTCCATTTCTGGCTAGCCTGATGATGCTGGTTATAAGGTTAGTTTTCCTGATAGTAAGAGCCGTTCAACCTGACAAAATATTACTTGTCCAGGGTGAGAAATAATTTTTATGGATAATCTTTAATTATTGTTAGAGTAGAATAAGGACAGGAAAACGATTTTTGTGTTGCGTTATTTTGCAAGACAGTTTTTGAGACTAGAGTAGCTGCGCCTAGGAGAAAGTCTAAGGAGGCATTGTGTGCTGGGCAATTGTTAGATACTCTAAATAAGTCTCATAAGAAATTGAGATAATATGGGGCTTTCAGACAGTCAATTATGGAAGACAAAGACCTTTTTGAACTCTTGCTTTTTTTTAAATAAAATGACCAGCTCAGCTAAGTTCCCTGTTCTATTTTTGGGAAGAAAGGATATTTATAAGTTGATTATTCCCAGGACAACAGAATATCAGGTGGTTTTCTTGACACAGTATTTTTCAGTGGAACTCTACCTCCCCTTGTATGGAAGCTTAGCCAGAGGGGTTGAGAATTTTATACTGTAATTACTTGACTTGAAGTCTTTGAAACTATTTCCCCGTTGCACTGCTTCAGTTTTACACTGGTGTAGCTACAGGGACATCCCTGTGTAGTGAGGAATCAGGTTAATAACGTGTGAATTGGAACTTGCTGAAAGTGGCTCCTTTCCCAGAAGGTCTAAGTATAATTAGACCTTACATAGATTTGTATGTAAAGCACTTAGAACAAATATTAGCTAAGCCTAACAGCTTTGCCAGAACTCTTTGTATTAACTTATTTTCATTTCATGAATAGGATGAGACATACCAAATTTGCAAACTTGTTTGCTTGAAGTTAGGTTTATTTTCAGGGGCAATAAGCACCCTTAACTGCCATTAATGGAAACAGTGGAAGTTACAAATGCTCAGCACCTTTGAAGGTCCTTGGCTGTCTATTCTCGCCCAAGACAGTATCGAGGATCAGGAGCAGAAACAAGATAAAATGTTGACTTTTTTACGCCCCCTTCCTCCCCCCCCCCAGTAAAGTGCAAAATCTGTGCTTCTGTTATGTCTGCCAGTATTTCATTTATTGGTCAGTTTATGAATCGGACCTAACTATTTGCAGCTAAATTTTTCATCCTAGCTTCTCTGTATTGTAAGTTGTAATTATAGGGCATTCATTCTTTTAGCACTGTAATGTTTCTGAATTAAAAGTAAAACGATCACAAACTGGGGCAAATGGGAAAAGTTCTTATGACTAAAGTTTTTTTTCTAATTTTTCTAGTTGGTTTCTGCAGCCTTTTAATTGCTCATTTTGTTTCCTTTTATTAGGCTATCTTGGTTTTATTATAGATTATACTGATAATAGATTATAAAGGGAACATTATAAGAAAAGTAATTTCTTTATTATATTTTTCTAGGTTTTTTTTTTAACTAGATTTATAAAATGTAGAGATGAAAAAGGCCTATTTTATCTAGTCCCGGCTGGCAAGTACAAGATTATTCCATATATTGTGTTTTTTCTAATGCTTTGCGTGGTCTGGTTTTAAACAGTTCACATAGAACAGCTTTGAAAGAGTTAGTTTAAGCTAAGTGGCTTCAAAGCTCTCTACTCCAGTGAGAACACTGCTACTGGCCTGAGACCAAATCCTAAAAGACGCTTTTTGTTGTGGCCCCCAAATCCCATTGACTGTTGAGAGTGTTCTGGATTATGCAGCACTGGGCTGCTAAAATTGGAATGGGGGGAACGGAGGACAACATCAAGCATTTGCACAGTGCTTTAGATGCAAAGGTCTGTAACAAGCAATAATTAATCCTTGTATGAGGTAGGTCTGTATTTGTTACCTTACATTTTAGTACAGGGCAGACTGAGGCACAGAAGAGGTGGGTCGTACTGTTAGTGACTGGAATAGAAAACGGACTCTGGGAGATTCAGCTGTCTGTTTCTGGCTTGGTTTAGGGGGTAACACTTCATCAACAAATTAAATAATGATAATTTGATACCACCAACAAAAAATGTATCAGTGTAAACTTTGACCCTGTTTAAAATTCTTGTCCTCTGGCTAGAGCATCACATCCTCAGTGTAGGCTTGAGGGCATTAGCTGTTGTTAGAAATCCTTTATATTTAAAGTGTGAATTTGATAAATGACACCTCTTATAGTAATACTTTCTATCTTTGCAGGGACTAGCATCGAACCTGTAGACTACAAACAGGCTTTATAGCTTTAGAAGTCTGTATGAAATAGTAGCTGTTGTGAAGGTCTTTTGAAATGGCTGAATCAAATTAAAGAAGACTTAAAGGATACCTGTATCCATATGGCCTTGGCAGATGGCAGCATTATATTCTTTTGATCTCTGTGTTAACTTAATGGAGTCTTTGCTCAGCCGTTAACTAGAGGCTTCAAGGGCCTGATCCTAGGTATTGTAACTCTTGTTGAAATCTGTGGGAGTGGAATGTGCTTAACATCTTCTAGAATTGGACCATTAATTTAGTTAACTGATTCCTGTTTTCATCAGCCTGACACATTACAATTCATGTATGTGGTGCTAATCTTGCCAGACTTTTGGAGTTGTCCTCACTGGAATTTTTTAATTAACTAAGAGAAAATCAGTCCTAAGGGAAATGATCAGATTGTGAGACCCTGCACGTTGATGTCAGAAGTGGACTCAGTTTTAAATGAAAGTGGTTGGTAGTAGTATTTGCCAAAGCTCATCCCATCAAGTTATACATACAGATCTCCTTAAGACGCTTGATCTTGGAGAGTCACGATTGCTTGTATAGCAAGAATTGTCCTGCCTCAAAGGTGAGCTTTTGCCTTCCGCTGAAACATTTTTTTTCCTAACAGGCAGATGATCAGTTGTATTGAGAGATTTGTACGATTTGTACTTAGGCAGTTCAAACCTGTTTCCACATTACAGGTTAAATTTAACATGGGCATATATGAAAAAGCAATGAGAAATGACAGAAAAAATAATAAAGCTGTCCTTTCAAAAAAAAGATACGATTGTTTTCATAACTAATTTTAATTTTTCAGTATTCAAATTGTTCAGGTTACATATGCAAGGCAATAAGAAGGTACAAGTAACTTATTGTTAATGTATGTAAAGTGCTATTTTATTATTATCAGATACGTTTAGTTCAACTAGCAAAATTGCTTTCAGCTAACGCTTCTACAGGAGGCTTTTATTTTATGTTACAGTGAAGTAGTTCCTAGACTGTAAGTACTGTAGGAGCTCCATAGCAGTACAGTGTGATATGCCAGCATGAGTTAAATTATACTGCTCTTAAAATTATATAGGGCAGAGCCGTCCAACTTCTAAGGCCTTGGGGGCCACTCTCCTTGCAGGCTACACCAGGTATGTCATGTGGATGCTCCCGCACACTGCACTGCACACCTACGTGGGCACCACCTCATCCACTGATGTACTATGCAGGCATAATTCCCACTCGGGGCATGTGGCCTCAATTTCCACTGCTCCCCTTGGGCATGGCCCCAGACTGACCCTCAGCTCTCTGTTGCCACACTGCCCTGCCCCCTGGGGCAAATGCAGGAGGCAGCAGCTGGAGAGGGAGGGGAGAATCTGAAGACTGGCTGCTATTGTAGTTGGAGCAGCGGAGAGAGTGGTGGCCAGGTGAGAACCCAGGGACTGCATATTAATCCCTTGTGGACTGCATGCAGCCCGTGGGCCACCAGTTGCACAGCCCAAGTTTACGGGACGCAAATACTACTGTGATGGATATTGTAAGATTGGGTGTGTGTGTGCAAGCGTACGTATGTATGTGTTAACATGGAACCAAATCCTGGACCCATTAACATCTGCGGCAAAGCTCCCACTGATTTGAGAGAGACCAGGATTTTGCTCTGTAAAGTTGACAATAACTACTTATCCAAACTGGCTGAGTGTCACAACTTTCTGTTGTACTGTTTTGTCCTGGAATTGCATTTTAATACCTATACTTAAAAGTGCCTGGGCAAATTGCAAGTTGACCTTTTTCCCTATCTTTTTAAAGCCATTAACAATGTGAATCATAAGCGTCACTCTTAAATCCTTCATGAAATGTAAGCAGCAGGCCTGTTGATTCTGTGCCTCTTTTTTTTTTCCCCCAGTCCCTAGTTTTCTTTAAACATTTTTTTAAAAAACTAAAAGCCCAAGCTGAAAGATGGAACAGAATGTTTCGGAGAGAAAACCTGCCACCAACTCGACTGCAGACTTCGATGTAATGGGTGCCTTAGACTGGAAAGACGGCATTGCTACCTTGCCAGGTAGCAACATACAAGTAAGAAACCAAGGAACAGGGTAAAAAAAAAGAAAGTCATACCTTCCATAATACAGTACGATAGTAAACGTTCTTTCTTTGGTTAGAAAAAAGTCTTGCTTTAAAATGATTATCTCATGTCAGGTATTGTTGTGACAAAACAAAGTTGGAGTTACTGATCAAATGGTAAATTCCTTGTCAGATTTATGGAAGCTTAGTCATTTTTTCCTTCTCTTGACTCCTGTTCAGAGCTTCTGAAGATCATTCCAAGGACGTAGTTAAGAATATTCTTACATTGTTGTACAAAAGTGTATGGCCTGGTCCTGCCAATTCAACAGTGCCTTATTCAGGCCAGAAATACCATTAAAATCAACATGGCATGAGTAAGGACTGTTTTCACTGGTATCGGTAGGTTAGATTGCTCTCATGTGTCAGTGATTATTGGCTCAGCTTTTGTCAGTTGTCTACATGTTTCTTATTTGTTGAAAGTTTCTGTAATATAACTGTGATAAACAACAATTAAAATTTAGAGCTTGATGTTCTCACATCTGATGTACAAAAGAAAGTAAGTGGGATGACTGTGTTTTTACAGATGACTGGAAAAATAGTTGTACTTCCAATATTTAGGCCAAATTTACAAAAGTTGTTACAGGTTTTTGTTTTTTGGTACCTACCTACAGTGACAACCTGAATATGATATTTTTAGAGATGAGAACCTGTACGATTCCAGCAGCTCATGTTAGGTATCCAAAATCAGTGGCTACTCATAACAACATTAGTCTTTTTTCTGTCTTTTTCATGTTTTCCTCAACTACTCTGTCTTAAAAAACCTTTAATCAGTTTCAAACTTCAATTTAAACTACAGTGAAAATTCTTCAGTGCTGTGACTGAGGAAGTCAAAAGGGTAAGAGCTCGGGTGACCTCATGTCTGAAATGTTTGGATCCCCATAGCGTCCTAAAATCAGTGGAGTTACACTGACATAAAAGTGGAATGACAGAATCGAGTCCATAGAGTTCCTACTAGACCTGTGGTTTTTCAAGTTGTGGTTTGGATTATTAGTTTTTAAAAACCTTGCACTTTCCAATTGGAGTCATTAATCTTTGCTTCCTCAAAGAAAACCTCCTGTGAAATATTGCTGTGTTCTTGAAAACAGCAATAATGTTCCTCTCTAGAGATGGCTGCATTTAATTGATTATTGTGTAACAGTGTAGAGTCTACAGCATTGTGAGATTTCTTAGGATGAAAGGACCCATATATATTTATTTGATAATTTTACAAGGATTAGACCTCAAATAATGCTGTTATTGGGCATGGTATCAAAGTTTAAATGGAGCGTTATTAACTGTTTACAAGATGTCTACTTCAGCATTATGCTTCAAAAATTTTTTTTCTTGTTTTTCACTGTCCAGTTCCCTTTTTATTTGTCTCTCTTTAACTCCCTTGTGTATGTCAGCGGTATCGCATTTCCAGTTAATTTTTTGTAGTTCCATTTTTGCCCCTTGCAAAGGAACATTGCTTTCAGTTTTGTATTTTCATCTGAAGTTTGTGTTAATGAGTAGGCTGTATTGACATTTCTGCAGATTAAAATCTTCTTTTCACCTACAGAGCAGATATAACACAGGCAGCAGCAGAAGTAGCTTTCCCATCATAGGCCAGAAGGGAGCACCTCCAGGGATGAGTGGAGTTCAGCTCCATGGCTTAGTCATTCTTCAGTCTCAAGTCAAAATTCCCCGTGGTCACAGTTGTTCTGGTGGGGGTCAGCAGTAACTGGACTGAACCACACTTGTTCATGAGACCTCGGGTCAGCCATTGAACTGCCTTTGCATGGTAACACTTTCCATCACTGCTGACTTAGGCTGGATTACAATTGGTGATTTATGGACAAAAAGCTTTGTGCTTCAGAAAGCTAGTTCCTTAATAGAAGACTGCTTTAATGCCCTCCCTTTCTTCAGTTGTTAACTCTGGTTTTGATGGAGCATCAGAGCTCTGATGAAACTTCTTCTCGTGACCTTTTGCTCATAATACTGGTCTGTTACTATTATAAGCATTTCTATGGAAGATTCAGCCTATAGTATCTGCAATCCATTGTACTGTTCCTGTTCTGCCCTTTCAGAAAAGCGGCAGTTCTCTCATTAAATTGATGCAAAGACTCCTTACAGAAAACACAATCAGAATCTCGTATATAATTACCATCTCTTTGGGGGGTGTTATTTTTGCTCTCACTGAAATAAAAATAATGTTCTCTCTGTTACTTTGGGATTGCAGAGGAGGCAGAGGTTCTTTTAGAAAGACTGCAGTATGTTTGGAGCTATGAAGAATATAGGCCTTAGATCAAGTAAGAGAGCATAAGGTAGGGCTTTTGTAAGATGATGATGGAGTTTGGCTTGAGATATTGTGAACATGGAGGAAAAGAGGAAAGGAGCAAGGTGGAGACCTGCCTGAGAGAATAGGTCTAGTACTTTGAACTTTGTATGGAGAGGCTAGGTGGAGAATGATCATGATTTTTAAGGGGGTGTAATGGAAGAATGTAAAACCAATAAGCTAGTGTACTACAGATTTTTTATTCACAATTTGCAAATGTCAGCAAATTCTGGCAGTTGGTCTTGTTTTTGGAGTAGCCATCTACATATTGCAGAGGTTGTGGAAATCAAATAATGGCTGCTTGTATTTATTTTGATAGTTAATCCCTGGTCAGGGAAAAATCCTTCTTTTGTTTAGTGATCTTTGCATATTTACTGGCACTACTTAGCAACTTGCTAGATAAGCAGTGCTTTCTGGGGCTGCAGGCTCTATTAGACCGACAGACCAGTCTGCGTGCTGGGTCCAGCATGCAGGGCCAGACTGGCCCCGCACATTGCATGTAGGGCATGCCTCAGGCTGGCCCTGTATATCATGTGCAGCATGTGGGACTGGGGCTTGCATGTGCTGCCTGCAGTGTGCAAAGCCAGTCAGAAATCACATGGGTGAGATGATAGTGCTCTACGGGCTGGAATCTAGCCCATGGGCCATATCTTTGACATCCCTGGTCTAAGGGAAATGCATTTCAATGATGTGTTTTGTGCCCTTCCACCTCCCCAAGGTCATATACCCATGCAAGCTGTTGGCCCCGTCTCAGAGAGCTCTTTCGTGGATTATTCAGCATGCTGAACATTTACACTTTGAGCTTCAAAGGACAAGTATTTTCTGAGGATGGATGCCTCTTCAGAATCTTTGATCCATCCTCATATTAGGGCCTCTTTTCAGTGAAGATTTTGCTTGCTAAACTCCCAAAAGAGGGATTATAGAGAGAGGCAACCTTGATGAAAGAAGAAAGAGAGGAGTCTTTCCAGTATCTGTACTCCAAGAATGTTTCCTTTGCGCGTTCCCACGTTCTAGGAGGATCGCTCTCTGTAGGACTCGGGGTTAGTAGATGAAACTGAAGGGGCTGACAACTGCCTGCCTTCGTATATTCCTAACACTGCTTGAGGGAGTGCTCATGCCGTCCAAACTGGGACTCCATTTGTAGAAGGTTTTCAAAGCCTTGTGGCATGAGGGGGAGGACTCCTCTACAAGCATTTGAACAGTCCTCCCCGAGGAACTACAATCCCTGGTAAGTAACCTCTTCTAAGAACATGGATAGCTTCCTACTTTCTATGAAATTTTTTAAATTTGGTTGCTGTATTTAGTAATAGCATTTAATGTCTATTTCTTTGTTGCAGATTAGCCCTGAACATTCAGAACAGGCATTCAGCTAAATTGCTACTCCCTTTGATGTACAGCTTGCTCTTGCATGTTTGTTAAAATGAACATAGATCTGAATTACATAAAGGGAAAAATCTGAAGCACACTAGGATAAATGTCACTTCTCTATACACATGGACCAATAATGTGTATGTTTGTTCATCACTGGAGTGGCATTTTCTGGTAAAATAAGAATGTTTTTGTGATGCTGTGTTGTATGTAAATCCATTTCTCTTGCCAATTCCACTTTTTGTCTCGGATCTACTTGCTTCTTGTTGAATCTCATGCACTGTCATTTCTTCTTTCAAGCCTGTCTGCTGCTGTTTTGTTTGCTAGCCTTCTTTATTTGTTTGGTTTCTCTTGTTATCCACAGTTCCGTTTAAGTGAGTTTGGAACACTAGAAATCATTACTGAAGTAGAAGCGGAAGCCATAAAATCTCTTTCTGTCCCGGCAATAAATACCAGCACAGCCGGCCTGAATTCTGGCACTTGGACTCTTGCTGCTATCAACACTACTGCTGTCTCTGGCACTAATTCTGAAGGTGAGATTTTTTTTGATGAGGGACGGACTACACACTTCTTAACAGGATGTTAGAACTGCATCTTTGAAGAAATACAGTATTTATTGTAACAACGCAGTGCTTGCTGATATAACTTCTGCTATCTCTTTTAAAGTAAACTACATTTAAAACATTTAGAATTAATTTAGTTCCTATATCATCCTAATTATACTTAGCTCTTATCTCACATTCTTCATCCAAAGGCCTTAAGCCCTTTATAAAAAAGAAAAAGGTAAGTGTTCTTTTTGCAAAAATTTCATGCTACATCTTTGGATCCAGCAAGTACCTGCTCAGAGCCAGATGGGGCTGTTCAAACTTGTGTCTATTTGCAGCACCCACCAAATGGCCATTTATGCAGGCAGGGATTGCTGAAGTGCATGGCTGTTTCAGCCATGACTTCTTTCCCCTGGCTTCACACCTTATTCTAGAGTATGCCTGCAGTGGAAGGCACAGCACTGCATCAACCAGGGATTCCCTATGTAGGGGAAATTGTTCGGTAAACAACTAAGCTGGCTTTGCAACTGCTGTTCATCAGTTCTGTCATGCACAGCAGGACTAGGGTCTAGTCCATTGTTTGTGTGAGATCCTCAGTCTTGAAATTTGTATCGTTAGTAGGAATTATGTGAGAAACAGCCGTATTTCTTAAGGCCTCTAACAAACATTGTTTAAGAAGTGATTAACTAGTTAAATATTGACACAAAAGATGTGCAATATCTTTACAGTTGGTTCCCATTACACCTTACGTTGAATGCGTGGCCAGCACTTCCAGCCTCCAGGAGCACACTGGAGCTCTTCAAGACTCCTGTGCCCTCCCCAGACTGGGAGTGCTGGTCAGCTGGTCAGGACTCCCAGCGGAGTGAGTACCTCAGAGCCCTTGGGTCTCGTGTGGTCCCACAGCTGGGAGCTTGGGTTCCATGCACTCCTGTGACTGGGAGCCCCAGTCAGCTGATTGGGGCTCTCAGCCATGGGGACACATGGAGCCCTTGGCTCCCCTACACTCCTTTGGCTGATCAAACGATTAGGGCTCCCAGCTGGAGAAGTGCAGAGGAGGCAAGCTTGTTATTTGCTGGTGTAGCTGAGCCTGGGATCATGATCTGCTATTATGTACTGGTAGTATGGCATGATTAGGGTCTGATCCCACAATCACACCTCCAGCTGTACATATGTGGCATGGCCGGAAGTGCAATTGTTGGGATTGCACATCAGATCCCATTGTACATTTAATATAACATCTGTCAGTGACCTAAGAATATTAGCTGCTTGAAATCACCATAATGCAACTCAGGAACAGCACTGCTGAGTATTCTCCCAAACAAAGGTACATCAAGACCTAGGAACATTTCAGGTGGGGTTTTTTTGTCCCTCTGGTCTTCTAGGAGCTGTTACCTGACTCTAAATTTTACAGCTGTGGCATAGCTCTTTTGAAGTTCCTGTCCCCAGTTGAGGTGATGTGCCTGGCTCTTGTTGTTTGGGATAATTTGAAATTGGGTCACCACAATTATTTCATTAAAGTGTCCTGGTTCCTACAGACAACAGTAATGGGAGACCTGTTAGCTGAAGAGTGTGGACTGAAGGTGTGAACCCAAAGTGCTGTCACAGGCCCTCAATCAGAGGATCTTATTTAAATGCTATCCCAGCCTTGGTTCAACCTAACACTTCATGGGTGTGGTACCAGGGAGCCCCAGGGTAACAGCTTTCCTTGGTGCTAGGGAGCAGCTCACCTCAGAGGATGTTGCTGCCAGGGATCATGTAGGAACAACCGGTTCACAGGACCACCTCGGGGCAGCAGACATCCCCAGTGTTTTGGGATGTCTTGGTGTCCAAATGTGCCTCAGACAATGTTAGAATCTCGTGGCACAAGGACCTGAACAGTTAATTCCCTAACACTTTATCTGGTCCTTATGCTTTGGGCCTGGAGCATGCATATATGCTTGCATTGGACCTCTTCCTTTAGCTCTATGCCACAGAATGGAGTCCCCATGACAGGAACTTGGATGCTGCCATAGTCTAGTATTTCAGTACTTTTATCCAGCTGCTACTGTATCAGTTGCTAGAGTTGTGTTATGTGCTATGCAGTTAGTCCTCTTGGGAGCTGTGCAGTTAGTTTTTCTGGAGGAAAAAAGACATGCTTACTGGTCCATGAGATTTCCAGAATGTTTGGTGGCTCCTGCTAGTACTAGGCAACAGCAGCAACTCTGGTTTACATCTGCAGCTGAAGGATCCAACTCCTAATTTTCTGTGATTCCTCATATTATCTGTTTTTCTTCAGTGATTTGGTTCCTCGTCTCCTAAAATTGTTCAGTGGAAGACCTAGCCAACCTTTGCAGGCTGTCTGGTTACCAGTGTGACTCCAGTGTGATTCATCAAATTTTGTTGCCTCTAGGGTTCATGAGATACCGTAGGTCAGGGGCAGGCAATTTTTTTGGGCAGAGGGCTGCTGCAGGGTAGGGCCCTGAGTTTTGGCAAGCCATCGAGGGCCACATGACGGGCAGCCAGGGGCAGATGAATATTAATTTTCTTAATTTTGGGGGGGCCCTGCGGGCCGGATAGAATGGCCCAGCAGGCCGCATTCAGCCCCCGGGCCGCATTTTGTCCACCCCTGCTGTAGGTAATAGCTTGTTGCCAGTTTACATTACGTCTAAAGCAGGAGCAGCCAGCCCATAGCATGCATACCACAGATAGCACGGACAGCCTCTGTATGTGGCATGTAGCAGATTGGGGAGTGAGTGGAGAGCACAGAAGATAGGGTAGGGAGTAGAAAGCAGAGTAGCGGATTGGGCAGGAGCCATTGGGTAAAGAGCAGAAAGAGCAGCAGAATAAGTAGGGAAAGAGGATTTGAGTGGTACCCAGGGAGAGTGTGGGCTTAATTGTGGCATGCCTGCCAAAAAAAGTTGGCATCTACTAGTCTAGTGTAAGTATCTGACAATCTTCTTGTCTTAGGTGACTTCAAGTTGCATAGCTATTCAGTAAGACCAAAGTAGGTGCTTAAAAATAGACCAGGCTGTAAGGATGGACTCTCTTCTGGTGTGGTATTGGGAATTACCATGGAATATCTCTACATAAGGATAGGCATCTGGCTGGAGTCATCTGATCCCAGCACTCTTTTCTGCCTAGGCAGGGGGTCGGACTCGATGAACTGTTGAGGTTCCTTCTGACCCTACATCTATGAATCTATAAGGTTTCTTTGTTAATCTTGGAATTCCCTGTGGAGACAGGACCTATACACTTCTATAGTGGAGCACAGCATTACTTGAATGACACCAAAACAACGTTGCTTTGATTGAGGAGAACCAGATCTCAACTAGTTCTACTCGCTTTATTTTTTCCCATGTAGCAGAGAGGGAACATGATAAGATAACTCTCATACATCCTCACAAAGAACTTCTGATCTGGGGAAGAGAGCTATGGATCTCTTATTGCTTGCCTGGAAAGTCAAATGCCATTATTTTACTCCGGATCTGAGGAATCTGTGTTAACAAGACAGATGAACCAGAGACAGAAGTTGGGCATAAAATACTTTAAGTAATCAGAAACTGGTTTAAACCTGTAACAGAGCAGAAGTTCAGTGTACATAAACTGCTTTCAAAATGGCCAAAACTAATTTTAGATAAACCTAGAGGGATGTAGTATCAGATTTAACTGATTTAGGTCAAACTGGATTATGGAACTTCTGTCCCAGATCCCTTCCTGGTTCAAGTTAACTCACAGTCCACCAGCATCCCAGGATGCTTTGCTGCCCTGGCCTGTGCTGTCTGCTGCAGTGGAGCAGGGACAGCCCTGCCCCTCTGCTCCATAGCTTGCTTCCTGCCTGCATCCATCAGCCCATGATTGGGGGAGAGGGGCAAGGGAATGAACCTCCAGACTCCCTCTAGCCCAGGCCTACACAGCTTAGGGGAAGGGAAAGCCCCCATGGTGGAGGGCGGGTGAAGGAGTTCCCAAGGCCCTAGGAGTGGGGGGGTGCAGGCACTGGGGAACCCGTGCCTCGGGGCTTCCTTTACCCCAGCCTGGGGTCCCCTAGCCGTTCAGCCCTGAGGAACCAAGGGGAATTCTGCCGCTGCTGTGAGTCTGAGGCAAAGACAGCTGCAGAGGAGTGGGAGACTTTTCCTCTACTCCCTGAGGCTGCCTCAGGTGTCCCTGAGACTTGCAGGGGCTAAGGTAAGCAGCTGTGGGGCTCAGGAGAGAAAGAATTCCCCTCAGCTTCCTGGGGCTGCCCTGGGCTGGGGTAAGGGAAGCCCTGCAAGGCAAGGGCTCCCTGGTGCCCCCATACTGGGTTGCATGGGTAGGCATCCAGTCCAGAGGACTTCTCCTCCCTCCTGTGGCAGTGGCTGAAGCAATTGGCAGCTGGGAAGGGGGAGAAGGAAATGGTTCCCCAGGGCTGCCTGGGTTGAGGAACCCAGGCTGGGGGACACCTGCTGAGGAGCAGGCTCCCCCAGAGTGGGCCAGCACTGGGCAGGGGTTCCTTAATTCCCTGTGGGGTGACGGCAGGGGGTTGGGGGCACGTACTGGGGAGCCAGTTGGGGATGGCCCACCTGGCTGGGCTTGCAATGGCCATCAGGCTGGGAGATTGCTGTAGTGTTCTCTCCCCCTCGCATCCCCTGTCTACTGGCCTGGGTCAGTGCAGGCCTCCCCTTGCCTTTCCCAGTTGAAAACTGAATGTTAGTTCTGTTGGTTATCGGTTCAATCTATGCAGCTTAGAGGAAGCTGCCTAGATGGAATTGATTCTTGCTTGGGCTTTTTCACTGTCTGTACTTAGCCATGCTGTATGTCAGGGAAGTTATTAGCTCTAACATACGCTGTTGGTCCTTCCTATATCAAAATTCCTAGTAAACTTGAGAGACGAGACCATGTATTCACATATACTCATACTGGCCTTATTGGGGATGGCTCTCATTTCCATCACAGGTAGTTTAGGAGGCACTTTTCCATCAAGCTGAAAATCTGGTGTTGGATGCTCAATTGATCACTAAGATAGTTTTGCTCCCTTTAACCCAACAATAAAAATTCTCCTGTCAGTGTGGCATCTAAGAGAGCAGGGCTCTGCAGGCATTGCTTTTGCAAAAAAAAAAAAAAAAA